TTTATTTTTATAAACGGAACGACAAAGATAAAATAAATGTAATGAATTTATGAATTTTATATTTTTACTTTAGTTAAGGGATAGTTATTATTTCGAGACGGTAGAATATAAATTAAATGGATTATTCGAATCGTTTCAATCGATCTGATGCAACTTCTATAAGAATTTATTTTCATTGACGGTACATGGAAAAAATATATCGGGTTAATTTCGCAATTCACGGAATAGTTTGAAGTTTTTGATATTTAATTTACTCGAATATACTTTGATTCACACAAATGGAATGCAATAGTCAATATTCAAATAGGTACCTAGATAATAGGAAGGATAGACAAAGGATGGACACTCAACTTTGGTACGACACGTTGACGCTCCACACGAGGTGATGCTTTAGCGGCACCACTGGCTCGGAGGCTGGCTTCTTCAATTGTCCAGACAGTAATTCCCCGTAGGCTGGACCTTGTGGACTTTCTATCTTCCACAATAGTCTTCAAATCTCGGGATGCTGCAGCGCACGCGTTGTCGCGATGTCTCAATCCAAGTCGATTTTACATCAAATAGTCGCGATTTTTATTAGTTCCCCTCATGGGCCACCATGTTACAACTTTAGAGGATGTAATGGTGCCAATCAAAGTAAAAAACTCCGAAAATTAACGAAATCAGATTTAATAAATTAATTAGATGTTACACGTATAATGGTGTTCTGGCAAGTGAAGGATGACATTAGAATTCTCTACTACGTGTCGAGCGCCTATGCAAATTTTATTAATTATGGTTTTTACAACTATTTGCTCTTTCAATTAGAACAGGCGTTTACGCCTGAACAGACGTTTTCTATTCATGCTTGACTAGTGTTGGCAGCTGCGTCGCCCGTGTTGTTGTGGGATTACAAGTGGTCTATTTACAAGTGACCATAAACTTCATATCTAAATCCCTGTACCAAATTTTGTTTCGATCGAGCCGTTTAGGCACGATGGAGTAATAAAAATACAACCAATTTCGCATACTACATGCATGATAAGTCCTATATAGATCTAAATGAATTTGAACACAGACAATTGTTTTAATTTTATAGGAAAATATTTCCAATAGTGAAGTGAAACAAGTGAAGTGGGTGTATCAGTTCTTCGAAGAATCTTCTTTATGCCATGAATGATTATGTATCTATTATATCTGTCATAAATTTCCTCTTAGTTACCTATATTCCGTCATCATTTTAGCTGCCGGGCAAGGGGTCTCGGGTTCGATTCCCGGGTCGGGCAAAGTACTACTGTTTTTTTTTTAAATCTCAGTATTACCACGGAGCCTGGTATTGTGCCCGGTATATGGCAATAGGCTTACCCCCTATTACATGGGACTCATAACATAAATAGTGACAAGTGTTACATTGTACAGCGGCATAATGTGCACTTCTGCCTACCCTACCTCTCCCTACTACCAAGGATAAAAGGCGTGATGTTATGTTATTTTCTGTTCTGTTTATTTTAGCTTTTCATTGCTTTAAGTTATTCTTCTATATATAAAACGGTTGACTTCCTCGAAATGTGCCTGTGTTACAAAAAAAGTATATAGTGATTATATAAGTTCCGTGGGTATTTTCCATTTCATTGTGGTGATTCCTAGAATAATATTTCCATTTGTATGTTGTTTATGTTAAAATGTTATTACCCCGTGTTATGAAACATTACGTGCTTTCATAATAAAGGACTTTTGACATATTTTTATCGTATTTCAATACATAACACGTCTATTTTTATTTATTTATTTAAAAACGTTGGATTTTCTCCCGTGTCTTGGGTGCGTTTACGTTTCTCATACACATGACACCCAAACCCGAAACAATAATTTGTAGATCACACAAGGAGTTGCTCCGTGTACGATGGGTGGCAGCCGGGCCAGCCACTGTGCCACTCATTTATTTATTTTTTTAGTCTTTTATGGTTCAAAACCTACCAACGGCAAGTACCAATGTGACTTTTTCCGAATTATATGTACTTTCTAAGATTATTTAGACACCATTGACAAACGGTGAAGGAAAACATCGTGAGGAAACCTGGGCTTATAATTTCTAATTGTAAGTTTGTAATCGCCAACCCGCATTGAACAAGCGTGGTGATTAATGCTCAAACCTTCCCCGTGTGAGAAAAGGCTTTGCTCAGCAGTGGGCATTTATAGGCTGTTGATGAATGAACTGCCAACCATGGAGTTGAAGCAGACTTTGATTGCTTAACGCGAAATAACTGAATATATTTCGAAAATTCAATGAACCAAACTTTTCTATAAGAGTTCCTTACCACAAACAAAACTGGTACTACGGTTTAAACAAACGAAAATGTTTAAAATTATCATGGATTTTGGAATTGTACCTTTTTTATAGCATAAGCCGGTAAACGAGCAGATGGATCACCAATCAGTGTCGCCCATGGATACTCGAAACACCAAAGCGTTACAAGTGCGTTACCGGCCTTTTGGGAATTGGGAATTTGAGGATTGTGGAGGATTCGGGGATTCGTGAGACGGGGACTAGGGAGGATGGTAATTGGGCCTCCGGTAACCTCACTCACACGCCGAAACACAACGCATGCACTGTTTCACGTCGGTTTTCTGTGAGGCCGTGGTATCACTCCGGTTGAGCCGGCCGATTTGTGCCGAAGCAAGGCTCTCCCACAGAATTTGTACAGAATAATGTGGATTACATTTACTATGTGACTTCTGCTTGCCTTCGTGGTACGAAATGAGTAATATTATGTACGTAAGTAATCAAAAACAGTCTGCCACGAAACATCTCGCGAATTCTACTCCGCCATAACAGACTTTATTGTTTCATATAAAATTCTTCAGCGAGTTTTAAACAACAGAAAGTTGTGTGAACTTTGTTGTTATTAAAGTTTCTATGTTTTTATTACAAATCTGTGTTATTCATAATGTTTCGTTGAATAAGTGAGGTGTGTTTATACACTTTCCTTGAGTTGTTCAACGCTTAATTAAAGTTGTATTTTATTTTTATTGTACTAAGTTCCAGTTTGCTATGCTTCGTTTATTCTTATTTGAATTTGTTAGACATATCAGTGTTTTGATAAAGTTATTATGTTTTTGAAATTGCTTTTTATGAGCATGAATGAGTTTGGTTGTTCATGAACTGTTAAGCTAAATAATTTGATGATAAAGCGGTACAACACATTCATCTTAAATTAATCTTGAAAATTTGGCTAAAGTTACTGATATAATATAAATAATAAGGTACCTAGTAATGTAAAGAAAATAAGTATTCGTTGTTAAACCAAAGAAAACTCAATGAACTTTCTCCCTAATGACAATGACTCTATTTAGGATAAAGGAAGGAAGAAAAGGAGAATAGAAAAACGTGAAAAGTAAAATAGATTTCATCCATTGTCTTGTTGTTTATCGAGAGAAAATGAAAGAAGAGAGAGCCCCATTTCTTGAAAGTCAAAGTCAACGTCTAAATCATATAATTCAATTAAAGCAGGAAGTCATTTTAAGATATAAAATCAAAATATTGAAATTTAAAAATAAATGTTCGGCTGTCGGTCAGTCCTCTAGTGAAGCCATTTGTTCGTTTCAAAGTGTAGGAACAAGCAAGAAACTCTATAACTGTTTTGCAATAAGGTTCACAATACAATTCTTGGTTACTTTGTTACGTTGGCTCAATCGTATAAGAATAATGTAACACCAATATTCAGTCAATCGATGCTTAACTATTCAGTTTTATAAACACCGCCAAATTTTGCTGCAATTGGGATGATAACAGGGTATGTAAATTAACACTATAATTAGTCTCTAAGTAATGAAAAAACGAGACACGTATTTTTTATTTTATTGTATATTAAAACACTACTTAGATAAAACAAATCAAAGTTTAGGAGTGGGGGCTAAAACGTCATTTCTACGTATAAAATGTACATAGAAGTGAGGTCACGCGATATTTCAAATCAATATAAAATATCGTCCAAAGTATTCGTTTCCGTAAGAAAATAAAAAATACGTGTCTAATGATTTAAAACAATCTACCAGACGGACATTAAAATAAAAATTAGGCATCAGCCCTTTTCTCTATTCTCAATCTAATCTAACAACTATTTGAATCCAAAATCAAAGCAAACCATCTTCATATCACTTGGTCTGTAGATTAACTTATTGTTAAACTTTATTGGTTAGGTTCGCAATCAAAATGAGTGACGTCAGTGACCAACGATCCTTGAAATTTTATAACTAAGGGTCAAAATCTGGATTTGATAAGTTGGTCCTAGATTGACATTTATTAAAGTTTATTCTGTAAAGAGGTTGGTGCAGCACTTACGTGTTTGATAGAATATCAAATTTGATAGGGAATTATTTAAGACTCACTTATAAGGCTCACGAAGCCCCAAATTGAAACGTAAATAATAATTTTCTTGACACGGTAATAGAATTCAAAATGTCTTGTTCAAATGTATGGTTTGTAATCTATAGACTGTCTGAGTAGTCGGTAAATATTTTTTTTATGGGATAAGCTGGTATACAAGCAATCGAATCACCTGATGGTAAGCAATCGGCGTCGCCCATGGACACCTTGGAATAGGGGCGTTACAAGTGCGTTACCGGCCTTTTGGGGATTAGGAGTTTGAGGATTGTTGGGGATTCAGGGATTCAGGAAAGAGAATTGGCCTCCGATAACCTCACTCACACGACGAAACACAACGCAAGCGTTGCTTCTCGTCGGTTTTCTGTGAGGCCGTGGTATCACTCCGGTCGAGCCTGCCCATTCGTGCCGAAGCATGGCTCTCTCACACTAATTAAATAAATGAAATGAAATACCTAGCTTGAGTCATACAAAAATCATACTCATTCAGAGTCGAAAATGATTTACTTATTTTACATCTACAAATATTTTTAAAAGTAGACATATAATTGGTTTTTAAGTTTTATTTTTCGAGGTATACATTCATTTTTCATTGCACTTCATGTACACAAATTATTGTTGACTTCGTTATTTATACTTTTTATGCGACGTAAGCGAAAGAGACGTCACTTGCGATGCCGCATGCATTACGTCCACGCACCAAGTAGTAGTACCCATTTTCGCCCCACTCAGTACCCCATGAGTTCTTTATTACCCAGTACGGGGTTTTCTTGCCAGCCTCGTCTACTGTAAATAATAAGTACACAATTTTATTATCCTACTAATATGCGAAAACTTGTGAAGATGTATGTATGCTTGTCATTCATTCAGGAAAAAACTGCTGGACGAATTTGAATGAAAGTACAGAGGCCTTAGTACGAGTTTAATTTACGTTTAAAGTAGTCGAAACGAGTATGCGTTCGGCACTCTGATTGGCTGGCGCCAATGAAGCAACCAATCGGAGCGTCGAACGTGTACTCGTTACGATCCCTTTAAACTTAAAACAAATTTGTGCTAAGGCCCCAGAGATGTCGCGGAAAACCTAACGGGTAACCGGGGCTCCGGCTCGACGTGCAGGAGAAGGAACGGGGTGGTTTTTAGTCAGTAAGAGTCTGACACTCCCTCCCGCCTCACCCAGGCGGGAGCAATCATTCGATGATTTTCCCCCATTAAAAAAAGAAATGCCCCAGATATGGATTGAACACAATAATTTCTATACAAGCGGGTGAAACCGCTGAAGCTAGTTTAATCAATTTGGAATAAAATTTTGTCTCAAAGAAGATTTTAATTTCTAATTTTGAACAGGCGTTCGACAACCATCTCGCCTGGTGGTCAGCGATAATATGGATGTCGATGGAGCATGTTTGTGTAGTAGTAGTACACTTGAACTTTTAAACTGTGATACTAAACCCTTCAGCAAAGAATTTATAAATAAATTTAATTTATATCAAGTATGGGAGAGCCATGCTTCGGTACGAATGGGCCGACTCGACCGGATTGATACCACGGCCTCACAAAAAACCGATGTGTAACGCCGCTGGTGTTTCAGATGTCCATGGGCGACGTTGATTGCTTACCATCAGGTGATCCGTCTGCAAGTTTACCGGATTATCTTATAAAAAATAATTATCTAAAGAAGCGGACACCCATTTTTCAGCATGTACGTTCACAGGATGTTGAGTGTTGATCATCATCATTATCATCATGATATTAGTCACAGGACGTCCACTGCTGAACATAGGCCTCCCCCAATTACTTCCAGATAGGCCGGTTGTAAGCGAACTGCATCCAGTGGCTCCCTGCGACCTTGATCAGGTCGTCTGTCCACCTTGCGGATGGACGTCCTACGCTGCGCTTGCCGGTACGTGGCCTCCACTCGAGAACCTTTCTGCCCCAGCGGCCGTCGGTTCTCCACGCTATATGCCCTGCCCACTGCCACTTCAACTTGCTAATCTGCTGGACTAGCAAATTAAATAGAGTGTTGATGTTGTAAAAAAAAAAATATACTTACCATAAACACTGTATCCGACGATCAAGACAGCGTGGTTCAAATTCTTAGGATTACAGTTCTCGACTGTTGGTTCGTCTATACCTTTTGTGTATCTGGCCATGGATTCCGAATTGATTGCTAAAAAAAAATGACGAATAATTACTATAGTAGGGGCACTAGGTAATACGACTTGTAAGTTAATCTATGTAAAAATGGATAGATTTTTAAAACGGATTCGTTCCCTACAGAACGTTGTTAGGATGACTAACTTTTCTTTAATAACTGAAGGTATTTGTTTGAAGGTAAAGTATACATACCCATTTAGATTATAGGTGTAGTATAAATTACTCAAATTGAGCTGTGAGACTTGGTCATTTTTAAAAGTTATGTTTTGATTGCATTTAGTTTCTTTGACGCTATCTAGGAATGCATATTTGCACATGCAATAAATAACTTAATATATCGATTTGACCTTCAAGACGTTTATACTGATAAACTGCATACAAGGTTATTTACATAAGTAATTATCATTGACTTAACTTGAAATAACACACAAATACCTGAAATATAATGTTTTGGTGGTGTAAAGGAATTAGTGGTTGTGAATTTTAAGTAAAAATTGGGATAAGAAAAAAATAGGAAATTACCAAGTTCATCGTTTACCTACCTGCAGAAATAGGACCGTTCACATAAAGGTAAGCCGCCATGACTTTTTCGTCAGATTCGACTCTTTTAAACCCTATAACAGGTACTGGATGTGGCCTTGGAGACATGTGGTGAGTGGAGTCACCTATTGAAGGATACCATCGACATTTCTCCTGTCTATCAGAATACCCTGGGTAATCTCTGTCGCGAAGCACTCCACCAAACACTGATACAATATTCCTAAAAGATTTAAAGTTACATTTAATTAGCTTAATCGTTACTTATTCATTTGATATTGTATCAGTTTTAGTAGCTGGAAACTGAAAATCTGAAAAAATAACTAACATCTTTTTTGAGAATGATGTTGAACTCAAAGTAAATGACTACGACGTGTATTTTTTTGGTAAGTTAAGTTTACTTATTTTGTGAATTTTAAGGTATCATGGTGTGTCGTGGTGGCCCGGCGGTTTAAGACGCCCACTTCTCATGCATGAGGTTGCGGGTTCGAAACCTACCAACGGCAAGTATTAATGTGACTTGTTCCGAGTTATATGTACTTTCTAAGATTATTCAGACACAACTGACAAACGGTGAAGGAAAACATCGTGAGGAAACCTGGGCTTATAATTTCTAATTATAAGTTTGTAATCGCCAACCCGCATTGAGCAAGCGTGGTGATTAATGCTCAAACCTCCGTGTGAGAAGAGGCTTTGCTCAGCAGTGGGCATTTATAGGCTGCTGATGATGATGATGAAGGTATCATAGGAGAGGCCTGCGAGCTACTGACTAGGAGAGTCAAACGTCTGCTGTATAGGTGGGAGTAGGCGTTAGCGTTACGTAGTATTCCACGCGCGCCACTTGAGGAAGGGAAGCTGCCCCCTAGGGTTAGTTACGTGCAAGGACTACCCGAGTCATAGTTACAGGTAGAGGAGGAACAACGCGGTGGTTTTAGCCGGTAAGAGTCCGGCATACCCCCCCATCATCCCCAAAACTTGGGAGTCTAAGAAAATGCTACAAAAAATCGCCATAAAGCTATAACTTACGCAAACGACTGCAGGACGGATCCAAATGCACATCCATTCTGCCTAGTATCACAGTCGATTAGAAACTGCTCTGACAGAATATCGACTGATTTCAAATAAATCCTGCGGTGACTTTCAATGTTTGCTGTAAAAAATACTATGCATATTATGCAAAAGAATAATAAATATGATTCTTGTTATTGTGGTCTAACTGACCGAGATATTTTTACTTTGTTTCGAGCGATACTGAACTTGAATAAAAGTATTTAGAATTTTTCCTAAGTTTTAATACTGAGCTTAGAATTATGTCCCGTTTGGCAGCCAGCAGTTTCATACAAAATATTTTAAAATCCTACAAATAACCTGTGTCTGGCAGTCGAACTGGCAGTTGACAAAATTACTTATCAAATAATCGAGTAATCTAAAAAAAAATCTAATAATATTTTACCAACGACACTAAAAGCCCAGCATGCGGCACAATGCCATTGATTCTTAACAGGTGAAACGGCATCGTAGTCTCTCCAATCAAAATAAATAGGAATCTTTCCGTAGTCTCCAGGTGTATCAGACCTTAAAGGATATAGAACCTCCTTTGTGTAATTATGACGGGGTAAAATTAAAAAACAATTATATTGAGCAAAAAGCAACAAAAACGCGGCAACACTCAACATTTTTGAATTTTAATAGCAGAGAAATGAAATGCTCGACTGAAATGTACTAGTTTTTAAATGCTCGACACTTTTCCAAGCATCTATAGCATTCGACATTCAACAGTATTTTTATTACTGTTTCATTCTAGTGTCCGAGTTTTTGACATCGCTTGAATATTTTGAGTGCCGTAACGTTTTTGTAATTTGTTTACCGTTTGATCACGGTGTTGCCATCCAATTATCTTTTTTTGTCGACGTTGACACTTCAGCTTAAATACTCATTATGCGATGTCGTATTAAATTATCATAATGATACATTAAGTATTGGCAGAATATTTATAGAAATTAAGAATGTTGAAAGTATTTCAAGCTTAATGTTGAGTAATTGTATTATGAACGCGAAGGTAAATGAGGGTTCTAGAGTTGTTGACATATATTTGAGAGGTTTATTGTTTATTAGTATCAACTGCTGAATTACTTTATTAGTAAGCACTTTCTGCTAAAGAGCACAAATCTTAGATATTGGTTAGCAAAAGTTTAAATAGAGTCAGGAAATGTATTACGCTCATTACAAAAACCTCACTTTGCAATCTATGTTTTTATATTTGACGGGTCGACGTTTGACAATTATCTCGCCTGGTGGTAACCAATGATGCAGTGCGATGGAGCACGTCGTTACGTGAGAGCCGAAAACATAATAATTAATGTAGCATAATAATGTCTCATAAAAGTTATAATCTAAAATCGATTATTGTTTACCTTTACTCAAAACTTCAATATAGAAATGCTGTAGCCTGTAGGTAAGACACAGATCAGACCACCACAGATGGAGCCCAACAGGGCTGATGACGATACGGAGCCGCGGAAGACTTAACGGGTTCAGTCCGGCTCAAAGAGCAGAAGTAGGAACGGGGTGGTTTTTAGTCAGTAAGAGTCTGACACTCCCTCTCGCCTCACACGGGCGGATGGAAAGTCATAGGATGATTTTCCCCCCTCAAAAAAAGGTAAGATACAGAACCAAATATCGAAAAAGTCGAAGATCAAATAAATAGTGAGCCAATAAGACGACTTCAAAAAATTGATAGAGATAGTGCGACCATTCGCAACGACTTCAAAAGTTATCTTAGAGACGTTCAAGTTTTAATTGATCAATTTAACTTCAAGTAGTAGCATTTGAACCAAGATTAGGGTTGTAACGTAGAAATTGTTATTTTATGTATATTTGCATTATAATTGGATGTATGATGGGCTTTGAGATTACTAGATTACGTTCTTAAGACTAAAATTCTAGTTTTTTATATATGAAAAAATAAAATGAATAAATTTGTGCGATTCTAAAACATTTAGAAAACTGTGTAAATGATACCTTTAGTAACTAAAGAAGTACCTATTGTGTTTTTATAATAACTATCGTGAGACATTAAATTAACTAAAAATCGCGGGTTACTCACGTGAAAATACTGAAAAAAGCTCTACTAGTTTCGAGCCACAGAGAGGCTCTTCGCCTATATCACGCAGCCTACTCTAGTAGCCAACTGTAGTTTTTAGTTAATTAATTAGGTACCTATTATCCTCCACTAAGTGAAATTTTCATACTTATGGTAAAAATGGTATTTGTTATTATTAGGAGAAGGTTCTTAAGATAGAATAAATGCTGAAAATCTTACGGGAATGGGAGAAAACGGGATTGCGAGTACGAAGTCGCGGGCAGAAGCTAGAATTAATAATATTTATGCTGTTGATTAAATGCAACAAAAACTAAATGGCAAACTGTGATCATTATGTTTTTGAAAATGTGTGTGAATTTTTCTTTTAATGGGTAAATTCGTCGAATGACTGCTCCCGCCTGGGTAAGGCTTATGTTATGTTAAGGTTAAAAGTACATTCACACTATGCGCATTGAAATCAAATGAACATTAATATTAGACTGCTAGTTTTTGATAAGTGGGAGAGCTATGAGCAAAGTTTAACTTCACCACCAGTACCTCTCAACAGACATTCAACTCTCCAAACATACGGAGAGTGAATGCTTGTTTATTTTAATTACATGCGAGTTGCTTGACCAATGAAAATGATGAAGATAGTTTGAAATCTGGAGATAGCCATTTTGCTATATTGTATATAAGGATACATTAAGTGTATATGTAGTAGTTGGTATTTATTTGGGATAGAAGAACCTATATCGTTGCTTTTTATTTGTTTGTTTTTTTTTTAAAGTTGCCTCGCACTTGGATTTTGCCTGTGTCGTCGGTGCATTTACAAACATACAAGTTTACATACGCTTTACACCCAGATATGAAACAACAATTTGTGGATCACACAAAGAGTTGCTTCGTACTGGTATCGAAACCGCCACACGTTGCGCTTGTTGCCCAGCCACCGCACCAACCGTGCAGTCGTGTTGGTTCAAAGTTATAAAAATACATTCAATAGGTTTCGGCTATAGAATCGAACTTAAAGTCTTGTGCTGATGAGATCTGTAAATAATATATTTATGTTAAGAACTTCATACTTTCAGGTAAGTTGGTTAAAAAGCAAGTCAAAGCATTTATTTCAATTTAACTAAATTAACTAAAAATCGTGGGTTACTCACGTGAATATACGGAGAATAACTCTACTGATAATATACTGAGATAATACTGATGTATATTCTCAGTATATCAGTTCCCCTCTGTGGTTCGAAACTAGTAGAGCTTTTAACCCGCAATTTTTAGTTAATTTAGTATGTCTCACGATAGTTATTATAAAAACAATGCTTAACCAGGCATTTTTCCAACGTCAACAATTTAATTGTCCGTCCGCCTGTCTGTGAATGATGTAAGGAGCTCGTTCCAAAGTGTAGTTTCGAACAGAGAAGAACAATAAAGAAACGCCATCGTTACTCTTTTAATAAAATGTCTTTATACAACTCCGTCGTTACTTTAAAAAAAATGTTCATTGATACATTTTCTGATCCTTTAAGTAAACGTCATAATTTTGTCTTATCATGATCATGATATGAATGGTTTGACAGAGGTATGCATAGCAAATGTAAACACCCACACAGAATTCGTGAACAATATTACTTAACACGCATAATTTGTTTGACAGAGGTCGCTACCATCGCTAGATACTCATACTTACATCAAATTTAATATAATAGTTTCCAGTTCAACCCTGAACCATTATAACTGTACAGTTCCGTAGAGAATCTACCTGTTATTGGTAATTTGTACGGTTAGCGACCACAACTTTGTATTGACGGGTTAAGCAATAGCCAATTTCGAGACTATCCCTTGATACTGATGGTCTATCGAAACGATCGAGTAATATTACATCTGTTACGACGCCACTAAAATTCTATGATTGTTTGAAATGTTTTGATATTGTGCTTCATTGAATATTTATTGCGAAATACTTCGGCACGTGTATCGTTTTGGTTTTGTGTCTTTAAATCAGAAAGATAAGAAAAAGCATTTATTTGACAGCAGGCACGCACACAGATATAACAAAAATACAGAATTAAAAAACAAAACATCACGCCTTTTAACCTGTATTACTGGGTTTTAAAAAAAATTCTCAGTAGTCGCACGGAGTCTGGAAATGTGCCCGGAATATGGCAATAGGCTCACGCCCTATTACATTGGACTCATAACATATAGTGAAAGTGAGTGTTACATTGTATAGTGGCATTAAGTGCCGTAATGTGCACCGCTGCCTACCCTTTAGGGGATAAAAATGTGTGATGTTATGTGTATCTTATACTTATTATATACAGCTAAAGAGTTCGTTAGTTTGTTTGACCACGCTAATCTCCGAAACCAATAGTCCGATTTGAATCATTCTTTTTTAGTGCATTTATCGATGTAGCCTATAAGATAATAATATTAAATATCTTCATGAACACATAGAGCTAAACTATATAGTGCTCCCTAGACAACTTAAGTTTAACCTTAAAGTGGTTGATCCATACTTTACCATGATATAATCTAACTAGTAATTTCACGCGGTTTTACCCACTCTGCTCGGCTGCTATTGATCGTATTGTGATGTTTAATTAATGAAAAATGAAAATCTCCAAATCTTGGTTTATTATATAACGAAAATTAATTTTGAAGTACTGTCTATCTTATATATATAATTCTTCTGTGAGTGTGTATGTCACTGAACTTCTCTCAAACGACTGGGCCGATTTTGATGAAATTTTTTGTGTGTGTTCAAGGGGATCTGAATGGAATGGTTTAGATTCACAAATCAGCCCGGCAGATGGCACTGCAGCCGATGTTTAGGTTATTTATCCTAAACAGCTGAACTAATTTGAATAATTTTTTGTTTACCTCTATACATTCAAGTGGATATGCAGGACAACGTCTGTTGGGTCCGCTAGTATACATATAAATACTCATGATTACAATTCACCATCTATTTGTTTTGTCGAAGTCATTTAAACTCAATCTAATTCAGTTCAATAGTAGTTACGTGCCAAGAATCAAAGTAGAGGTCACGGTTTCTGTTCGCAAACGAGTTAAAAAAGTTAATTAACTTACGTACCTCCTTGTTCTACTGGCTAGCTAGAACTGTTAGTTTGTTTTACAGAAAATAGTCGCTAGGAAAGTGCTTCAGAGAAAGAAAGTATTTCTTTTCCTTATTTTGCTCCTTCTCTTCTGAATTCTATGACTATCTATTTTATATTACTAGTTTTATCAAATAAAAATATTGTTTGGTCATCTCATAGTAAACTTTTTTAATGGGATAAACCGGAAAACGAGCTGACGGATCACCTGTTGGTAAGCAAACGGCGTCACTCATGGACACCTGGAACACCAGAGGCGTCACAAGTGCGTTACCGGCCTTTTGGGATTAGGAATTTGAAGATTGTTGAGGAATAAAGGATTGGGGAAGGGGGGGGGGGGGTATTTGAGCATCCGTTAACCTCACTCACACGACGAAACACAACACAACGTTGTTTCACGTCGGCCTTCTATTTGCCATTTGTAACCATAGCCCAAGGACGGTGAAAAATGACATAGAAATGATTGATG